AAATCAACAATCCCAAAACTGACTTATTTCTACTACTGCACAAAAAGATGTCTGTCACCTGACACCGCGTTTTCAGGATGCTCAAGGGACGGCAGACACAAACCCCGACAGTCAATATCAGGTAGGTCATCCTGAAGGGACTACAAAAGAGTGAATGGGAAGGAGCCAGCCACCCTCTTTGCAAAGCCCACAATGGGTCTGTCACAGGCCCCCATCTTCCAAAGCCAGTTCCAAATCACTCCCTGAGGAGAACTGTCTCCGAAGAGCGTGTTTCCAGATGCACATTCCTAAGAGCTAGGAATAAACAAAACATGGGGAGTGCTTGCTTTCATGTGTGACTTCCCTAGTGACAGCCTGAAGCCCAGGTGCCAGGCTGGTTACAGGAGTACCCACACCTTCCGTCTGTCTGTCTACCAGAGTTTCAAGCGAACAGGAAGAGGAACAAGTCTACAAGTGAAAGGTAAGTACACTCCCAACCACCTCCATCCCATAAGTCAAGAAGTCAAGAGTTTCACCGGAGGAATTTACTCATGGGAGCTGGGCACGCTAAGCCTCCGTCATTTCAGTCCGGCGTGGTGTTAATGAGCAAAGTCATTCTCTCAGGGCACCTCTTCAACAGGTGCTGCCTTTCGGGTCTACAACTCACTTTGTCAGAGCGATTTCAGCTCTGCTTGGAGCACGACGAATTCCGCAACTTGATCCCATTGAAATATTTAGTGCCTGCTGATATGTTCAAACAAATTCTCCAGATCTTGATTATGTTCTGGCAATTAAAGCTATTAAGTCAGTAGACAGACAGCGGGTTATTTCATTGCTGGTTGAAAAAGCCAGCGTTCTCCCCCCCCTCCCCTTTATGTGACAGAACTGTAATTAGCCTTAATCAAATACTATTTGTGCTCTGTGCGGTAACGTTGCTTCCTTAGCCAGGAAACAGTGCCAATCTAGGAAAAGGAGAAATATGACCCTGGTCAGAAAGCAAGAAAGATAGTCATGGGGTGTCTGGGAACGTTTTGTTCCTATCTTTTCGATGTTCCTGTAAATCTAAGGCTGTTGTACAATAAAAAAATTAATTTTAAGAAATGTCCCAGGGTCAGTGGTGTAGCTCAGTGGTAGAACGTGTGACTCAGCATCTGTGAGGCCCCAGGTTCGTGTGTGTGTGTGTGTGTGTGTGTGTGTGTGTGTGTGTGTGTGTGTGTGTGTGTGTGTAACAGGGTCTCATGAAGCCTACCTAGGCTGGCCTGGAACTCATTATGCAGCTGAGGCTGAACTCTTAATGTCCCTGCTTCTGCCTCTGAAGTATCAGGGTTACACGAGTGGGTTACCACATCAGCAAAATAATAAATGCATTTTAAGTTTTAAATCATTTATTTAAAAGTATAAAAGGGGTAAGAGGAAAGGAAGGAGAAAGAAATGCTACTCAATATAACTTTGGCTTTAGAGCTAACATGTCGAAGGTAACCTTAGAAATCACTCAGAAAATGTGGTCACTTCTGAGGTTCACTGCCTTGTCACATTGGGGACACTCAAGTGCTTCATAGTTCTCACTGCAAACAAGTTTGCAAATGCCTGGAAGGAAGGACAACTCCCCAAACAGAACTGATTCTTTCACATGTATCCCAACTTCTAGCTTATTCCTCTGTGTAAGCTAAACATTCTGTCTATTTAAACATCTCACAGAGTGACGCTGATGAACAGGTGGGGGAGGGAAGGGGCAGGGCTTTAAAATCTTACCGTGCTCACAAATCACCTGAGGACCTAGTGAAAGGACGCACATCTAGAGCATCCTTGAGGGTTTGTCTGCTGCAAAGGCCTCGTTGACACCAAAGCTGGACGACAAGTCACTGAGTACTAACACTGCTAGGACCAGACATCACAGAAGTACCGACAGACAGAAGACCTTTAATAGTTTGTCTACAAGGTTGACAGTGAGAAATGTGGTCAAGTCTACCAACCAAGAGATACGCACTTGTATTTTCTTCAGCTAATAACTGCTGGTGTCAAATTTTCAAACATGGCAGTAAAAAATCATTGCGTTATGAGGCGGACTGTCTGTGAGCTCAGAGAATCCCAGTGATAGCAGAAACTCTATTCTCGCTCGCCCAAACTGCCCCAGCTGCAACAGGGAGCGAGCAGGGACAAGTTGAAAGAGCAGCAGTATGACCTTCGTTATTATTTTGTCTATTTGCCTCTTCACACCGCAAACAGTTTTGTATTTGTGGAACGTTATCTATTGGAACTGGGGTTTTGTTTTTTAAACATTCCCAGAAAAAGAGTCCCAGGGGTTTCTTTCCGGTAAGTTTTAGTCTGGCTTTGTAAACCATGGCATCGGCTGAGGCTGTTTATAGGATCAAACAGCTAACACGGGAAGGATGGGAACACATCAATCTGCCATCTTCTACATCTCTGAGTTGCGGGTGGGGTATGGAGTGTGGGCACGTGGTTTAGCCTTCCTCTAAGACTGACAGTCTCCCCAAGTCTGTGGTCACTGGTGATTCAAACCCATCATGTGACCATGACTCATCACTACCGTCAGAAACCAGACAGGAACTTTGAGCTTGACCGACAAGGCTGGTATTTGCTCTGTTTGAGCACGGGGAGCTCACCAGTTGGAATGTTCCTCCACACCACTGTGTCGCCGCCTGGAAAGACGGCAGAGAGACAAGAACCAGTAACACTGGGAGATTAAGGATGACTCCTACTCTCCCCCAGAAGAGCTGTATCATTGAAGGAGATGACTATGGGTAAGTTCTAGAGAAAGCTGTAAGAAGATGGAGGACCATCCTGTCATATGGGTGATACTCAGCTGACAAAGACAAATCACCTCATCCCATCCAACATGGCAAGGTCAGGTCATTCGTGACTTCGAACACCGGGAAACACAATCCTTGCAAGTCATCCACACGGCTGCGGCTGCTGTCTCAAATACCACATTGCTAGTTCTCCGTGCCCGGGGTTTTTAAAGCCTCGGAACCCAGCTATAACTGACAAGCAACGGTTCTTCTGCTTAGATCCATGTACATCTTAATAAATGCAACAGACCTGGGCTTTGAAAAAATAGCAAGTCCTGGCATGCAGCTACTGTCAATTAGAGGGCAGGAATTCCTCCCACTATAGTTTATTTCAAGTCCAAACCTGGCTGACAGTACTGAACATAGAATGGGAAAGAAATGTATACAGTGACTAACTGAACAGGTCGGCACCATTACAAAGTAACAGTGAGCGCCTCCAAGGAAGGAAGGAGCATTGGTCTTTGTTTGTGTGGGGGAGGTCAGAGGTCACCCTCCGTCTTGTTCCCTAGGCAGCATCCTTGTTTTCCTGAGACAGGATCTCTCACTAGGTCCTAGGGCTGGGCAATGAGGCTAACCTCACAAGCCCGAGTCCCAGAGATCCACCAGGTCTCTACTTCCCAGTGCTGGGATAAGTTTTGCAGTCTTTTGTCTGGTTCCAGGGGCTTAAACACCTCGTGCTTGTGTGGCAAGTACTTGGCCAATTGATCCCTCTCCAGAGCGGCAACATGGCTTTAATAATTAAGTTGGTAACAATTTAGGAGGGTAAAGCATTTTAAGTTCAAGATAGCATGCCTCTTTTTAAATGTTTTCATTTTGTTGATGAAACATAGAAGCCCGTAAGCCCTTCTGTCTTTATACACTCATCTTCAGTGACAACCTCGCATGTATAACCAGCACAGAATCTTATAAAGTAAGCCACTTGGATCATAATGACATAAACACACAGCAAGAGTTTTTCTACATGAGCTCGGGCGTTGAACTTTCTACCTGGGTGCCTTGCTCACCACAGCGTGTCCTTGTGTGAACTCCTAAGGCCCCAGTCAATCAACCCCACTGGTCTCAGAATCCACAGAGAGGGCTAAGGCATCACCCCACTGCTTAACTGTCCCCTACAATTGCCTCTGTGGGCAGCTTACCACCTTTATACCATTTTACTGACCTGCCTCGTTGCTGTTTTTAGTGCTAACTTTATAATTTGTGTGTGTGTGTGTGTGTGTGTTCACACTCAAACTAGCTCAGTAACTACTTTACCCATTGAGCCATTTCCCTAGCCTTGTTTGGTTTTACTTTACAATGAAGTATGGCAGCTTTATTTTCACTAAACTAAAATATAGGTAATTTTCATTTTAGGGTTTTTTCCCCCCTTTTTCTACAAGAGTTTTACTCCAAGCCAAAGTCTCTTGTTGTTCAGGCTTTAAAAACATAAATACACTGGTGCTGGAGAGATGGCTCATCGGGTAAGAGCACTGGCTGCTCTTCCAGAGGCCCTGAGTTCGATTCCCAGCAACCACATGGTGGCTCACAACTGTCTCTAGTGCGATCTGATGCCCTCTTCTGGCATAAAGGCGCACGTGCAGATGGAGCACTCACATAATGAAACAAATCTTAACAACAGCAATAAACCAGCAACAAACAAATACACACAGGAGAGATAAATTATTCATAACACTGGATCTTCTGGAATGATCACAACAAGACCTCGAGTTCTCACAACTCCAGGGCATAAGTTGAAGTCACGCCCAGAGATTTAGAAAGAGCCATGAATAATAATGATCTATTTAGTGTTAACTAAATATATATAGATATAGATACAATACAACCATGGGTGGGCACCCATAAATATATTCCAATAACAAAATATGTGTAACCATTACAAATAAATTTAATAAACTTAAGCTCAAAGTAACAGCAAAAAAAAAACCCACTAATATCATCAGATGGAACTAAGATAAAAACTATGCATTTATCACAGAAAAGGACAGCTCTTCCTAGATATTATGGTTTCCTCACCATTCAGTAAAAATGTTTAGTGTCCCTGGAAAAAGATGATAGCACAGTCTATGATCTGTCACCTTCTGCCTCTTCCCAGGGGCCTGTCCTGTGGGTGGCATTTAAGAAACAGGAGAAGGAAGAAGACTGAAAATCATGATAACAACAAAATATAACCTTAGCTGGTCTTGGTCTGAGCCTGTAATCCTCGTCTCCATAGGGTGCTGAAGCAAGGGGACCAAGGTCAAGTCCTGCCTGCATTACAGAGTGAGCTGAAGGCCAGACTGAGCAACTTGGTGAGAACCTGTCTTAAAATAAAAGGTAAAAATAAAAAGTGGCTCACTGATAGCACGTGCAGACCCCAGCTTTGTACTGAAAATCCTACTAATAAAATAAAAATAGAACCTGACTCTGTGTCCCTGAAATCTAGAAGACACGGGAAACAAAAGCAAAAAGCCCTCTGTGTGTCTAGTATGTGTGAATCTGTGTGAGTGTGAGCATACACACGCCAAGCTCCTCACATACGAGTCTGAGGACCACCTTGGCATTAATCCTGGCGATCCGCTTGTTTGAGGCTGGGTCTCTTATTGTTTGCTGCCGCGCATGTCAAGCTAGCTGCCACAATTCACCCTTTGCTCCCCATCTCTCCTAAGGAATGCTGGGATTGCACATCGTGCTACTGCATTTGGGGATTCTGGGAATCTAAACCCAGGTGCTCGTAATAATGCAGCATGTATCCACCTAGCCCTCTGTCCTCAGTCCCTGAGGGCACGCCTTTGAGAAAATAATGGAAAAAAAAGCAAGTCGGCTTCTTTTTAAGAAACACACATATGCAATTTTTCATGCAGACATTTTTCTCAAAGGAGTTCTGCCATTGGGAGGGCTGTGAGTTACATCAGGCAATGAGAGACAGACAGTGCCATCTCCTACCAGACCCAGAGTTCCCGAAGACCTTTAACAGTGAAATCATTTAGCAAAACACAGATGCAAGCCAATTACAAAATCACAGTGTCTTCAAGATTGGCTGCTGGATGGCACTGGCTGTAAGCTGATTATCTCATGCACCTGAGGGGAGGGGAAATGGGACTTGCCTTCCGGCATTCCTGGGCTACAGTCAGACCACACTCTTTTACCATACTCGTATCTAAATGTACCCCATTCCCAACAGACTCATACAGCATCACATGAGTTCTGAGTCACTTTTGGGTATCTGTCTGTAAGAGCCCACGGAGCTGAGGTACAGGAGATGGCTGAGTGAGCAAAGTGCTTGTTGTACAGCCTGAGGACCCAAGTTTGAATCTCCAGAGCCCATATAAAGCTGGGCATGTAGTGCACATTTGTAATCCCAGTGTGCCTATGGAGTGATGGGAGGAGACAGGAGAACCCATGAAAGCTCACTGGCAGGGTGCCTGGCAACCAGTGAAGGGGAGAGTCTGTCTCAAGGCGGACTTACACCCGAGGTTGTTTTTTGATCTCCACAAATGCACGCATCATCATATAAACTCATACTTCCAGCCCCCTTCCCCCCCCACACACACGCACACGCACAGATGCTCAATCCTGGTTCAGGTCAACACCACTGCGGATGAAACCTAAATTACAGCTACTTTATCTCAGCACTCCAGTTTGTCCTTGAAGCAAGAAGGCTGTGAACTGAGCTTTTGAGCAGCAGACAGCAAGACCAGCACAGAGCCTAAGCCAGCAGAACACATTCAAGAGACTGAACTGGACTGGACAGAAAAAGAAAAGGAAAACAGGGCGTGATGGTGTATTCCTGTTATCCTGTGTGGGGGGCAGAGGGAACAGGCTGGTGAAGTCCAAGGTCTGCCTGAGCTGTGTGTGAGTTGAGTTCAAGGTTGAGTCGAATAACAGCTGAAAGAGAAGGTTGAGAGCAGAGAGTTCAGTGGTAGGGTGCTTACCTGGCATGAAGGAAGCCCTAGTTTCGATCATGAATACCCAGAGAGGAAGCCGTGAAGAGGCACAGGAAGGGGTAGTGGGGGAGGAAAGAGCAAGGACCGAGTACCTGGATGCTCACAGGGAGGATGAGGGAGCCCCAGTTACAGAGTGGGGCTGGTTGAGCAAGCCAGTGGGAGTCTCTTGTGACGTCCCAGAGGCTGACAGCTTAGACCATAATAAACACAGGCCCTGAATATACAGCAAGAAGCCATTGAGTGTGGATGGGGGAGACTCACGTCTTCCTCCACTCCCAACCTTCCAGAGCCTGCCAGAAAATGCTAGAACCATCAGATGCTTGTACAAGTGCCCCCATAGGATGCTATACTTGGAAAAATGAACACACACACACACACACACACACACACACACACAATCTTCTTCAGCATTTTTTTGTCAAGCGTCTTTATAAGCACGAGGGATTTCTACATTCCATAATTTGTAACAAACTTTTCGTCTGGACACTAAAACGAAAGCCTCTGGAAAGCTCCCTAGCAACGGTACCATACTTAGGTAGAGAGACTTGCAACACAGACTTTATGTTAATACTCTTTAATTTTTATTTCTTACATTTCAACTTAACCTTCCTCAAAGGAAATGGCTTCCAGAATCCTCTTCAAATATTCATGTGGTCTATTGCGGACACTACAGAGAACACTCTCCCCATAACATCCATTCCCAGACCCCCTCCTCAGCCTTCAGCCTCCGGCACAGGTGGGAACCAGGACAACACTAGCCACCCTGCACCACGGGCTCACAAAGATGCTCTCCCAAGGTAAGCAGATGCCGGAGGGATGCATGCTGGGATGGACTGGAGGGTCTGACCTTGAAGTAAGCAAGAAGAAATCAAGTTTGGGAGGGTGACATTCTACAGGATTTGATGATTGTTTTAAAATAAAAATCATTACACTTTTATTTATTCATTCTGTGTCTGCATGTGGGGAGCATGCCACAGTGCCCACGTGGAGATGAGGAGACAACTGTAGGAGACGGTTTTCTCCCCGCACGGTGTGGGACCCAGAGGTTGAACTGAGGCCCCCAGATTAGGAACTCTTTTACCCTCTGAGCATCTTTTTAATTAACCATCTGAGAGACGAGTGATGGATAAAGAGAGATAGAGTTCCCTGCAAATCCATAATGGCGTTTACAAACACCAACCATAGCGGTAGCAGAACACATCCATTATCAGAGAAACTACAAATGGATATTGTGAAATATGCACAGAATCCATCATTAAGTTGAACTGGGAGAATCGGAGGAGGCTTCATGGGAGAAATGGCATGTAAGACAGGCTTTGGATGAACGAGTTAGATTTTAGTAGGTGGAGAGTGAGCAAGAAAGGCGTGTTTGAATAATCAGGAGGCAGGAGAGTGGAGGGTGTGGAGGGCAGCTGCTGCATGGTAGATGGCAGAGTCATAGCCGTATGGACTCTGGGCTGACTGTGCACTCTGTGCGGAGCCACTCGGGGCTTCTGAACATGGACCGGAGTAACCCGGCAGCTGGGAGGATGCTTAAGTTCTGGAACTTCACATGATTCTCTTTTTCTCAGATGAGAGGCTAAGGTCCATCAGGAACCTCTGAACCCAGCTAACCAGAGGCAGAGCGGGGGCTGTTCTCTGGCTCCTCCGTGTCTCCGATATATGACTTCATTCCAGAAAATTCCACTGATCTGCCAGGTCTCTTTTTCATCACCAGCGCCTTCTGACCTGGGCCCGGGCCATCCTAATTCCATCTCCAGAGGCTCAGTAATGCTGGTCCATTCCACTCCTTTAGCTTTCCAGATGTGGACACGAAATCTCCCCACATCATAGATGAGCCAACAAAAAGTCTAGCCTGCAGGCTTATTATTATTATTGTTAATCAGATACTGCCTGACTCAGGCTGTGCAAGCACTGGGACACAAGCATTTTAGGAACCTTGGAGTTGGTTCCCCAATGTCCCCATACATCAGTGTTCCCCTGGAGTTTCCCGAAGCAGCCCTCTCAACCCGGGCACCTTCTGAGATGTCCCCTCTCACTAGTGGCACTTCCCACAGAGATGAGTCTATGAATCCACACCAGTCCACTGGGCCTCTCTCCCTCAGCCACCCCAGTGACCCTAAACTAAACTGCAAGTGCCCGAAGATGCCGTCACCTTAACTGCGCAGACTCCACCGCTGATGTCACCAGCCCTCCTTAGAAGCGCAGTGAGCATTGTGTTTGATGGTGTCAGTAACGATTTAAATACAACAAAAATACCGAGTAAACCTCAGGATTCACAAATCTCCCAAATTAAAAAAGCAACAATGACACATGGCAAGAGTGGTGGTCCGTGTCTGAAATTCCAGCACTCAGAAGTCTGAGGCTGGAGGATCGCTCTGAGTTCAAGGACATGCTAGGTTAGAGCAAAACCCCACCCAACCATGCCCCCACAAAATAGCGCAGTGACAGGTAATTTACTCCAGTAAGAATGAATGAGTGTGAGCGCCTCCTCAGCTCTTGGTGACTTCTCTGTTGGAGAGAGGCTTCCCCCTTGAAACCATTTTTAAGTTTTGTTTTGTTTTCTCATTTCTACATGGCTACTTCAGGCTAAACCTAGCCTGTACCTTTAATGTGCCCCATGTTTTCTTTTGTTGTGGTTAAGAACATGCTTTCCAGGATGAGAGATACAATAATATATGGAGTCATTATAGGTTTGAGAAGAGAGCTGACACTAGTGAGATCTCCAGAGATCTACAAGGATAACACCAACTGGCAAACTAAACAATAGTCCAGAGACTACACTAATAGCCCCTCCCTGATGATAAGGTTGATGGCTACCTTTATACCATCCTAGAACCTTATCCACTGACTGATGGAAGCAGAGACAGATCCCCACAGATAAACACTGAACTGAATTCCTGAAACCCAGTGACAGAGATGGAGGAGTGATGAGCAAAGGGGTCAAGACCATGCTGGTGAAACCCACAAAGACAGCTGACTGGACAAGGGGGAGTTCTTGAACCTCAGACTAATGGCTGAGAGGCCAACAGGGGATTGATCCATGAATGTAGTGTTAGTGAGGAGGCCTCAGAAATCTCTGGGGCCTTGGGTAGTAGATCAGTGTTCACCATGGAGTACAAATGAACTTTGGGAGCCCATTCCACATGGAGGGATGCTCTCTCAGCCTGGACACATGGGGAAGGGCCTAGGTCCTGCCCTGAATGAAATGACAGACTCTGGAGATCCCCCCAAGGAGGGCCTCACCCTCCCTGGGGAATGATGTGGGGACTGGGTAGGGGGCTGGGGGAAGGCTGGTTGAGGGACAAGGGAGGAGGGGTGGGAGAGGGAGCTGGGATTGGCATGTGAAGCATGCATGCATGTTTCTAAGACATAATTTATTTTAATAAAAATATTTAAAAAAGAACATGCTTTCCCTACTTCCTTAGTTTTCTTCTCCTTCTGTCTCTAGAACTAGAACTTGGCTTTTGTTGTGGAAGTCCATTTCTCATGAAGATAGCCTGTCTTTATCACACCGTGAAAATGACCTCACCGTGGGATGGGTAATATAATGACTCTTGGGTGGTGGGGTTAATTGGCAGTGGGCTTGGCTCATTCGCTTTGTAACTCATAAAATCCAAATTTCTCCATTGGGAAAACTGCAAATTTCTTTCCATCCCAGACATTTGGGTTTTTTTGTTTGTCTGGTGTTTTTTAGGGTTTGCATGTATGTGCTTAGAATGTGTTGGTGCACATGTATGAACGCATGTGTAGAAGCCAGCAGTCAACCTGTTGTTCCTGCATTACTTTTTGAGGCAGAATCTCTCACTGGAACTTTCACTGCTTGGAACTCAACAAGCAGTTAAGATGGCTGGCCAGTAAACTCCAGGGATCTGCCTGTCCCTCCTTCCCCAATCCTGGGATTACAAGTATGTATCACCCTGCCTGGTTTTGGTGGGGGGGGGTCAGGGCTCTTAAATATTTTTATTATATGTTATCCATTAATTCATTTATTGTATATTGAAGGGCTGGTGGGTTGGTGTTGGGGGCCATAGTATACACATCAGAGGTCAGAGGTCAGAGGAGTCATGCTCTCCTTTTACCATGTGGGACAAAGGGATCAAACTCAAGTTTGGTGGAAGGTGCCCTTTATCCACTGAGCTAGCTCAGCAGCCTGCTTTTGGTGTCTTCAAACACACAAAACGCTGCATCTGAAAACAACAGATCCATTCAGGACTTGAAAGTCCTTCCCTTGACAGCCACACTGAGAGCACACTAAGGGTTATGACAAAATGACGTCTAGTCCACTTCTCCAAAGGCTTGTGGAATTCGCCACAGAAATGGCCGTCAGAGCAAGTGGACAGAGCTCTTGAGAAAGCAGGCTCTCGCAGCTCCAAAGCTGCACGCTGTTCCTGCCATTGGTGTGCTCACCAAGTCCCATGGCCATTGCATTCACCCCCTTCTGCTTTTCCTTGCCTATAAAAGTCGTTTAAACATTCAGCACAGTGAACAGTGTGCTAAAGAGGGAGGGCTTTGGGGGGAAGACGCAGTATTCTATGTCATAATTGGGGTGGTTGGTACACAAATATATTCATTATCTGAACTTTATAGAATTTTTGCACTAAAAATTAGTGAATTTTGTCTGAGGGTCAATAATATCTGAATGAAGAAACATGATCTGAATAAAATTTCCAAAGCCACGGTGTATCCTAAGTATGAAAATACACATGTAAAGCTTTTGACACTTATAAAGGGGAGTTTTGGGTTTAGACATAAATGTACCACAAAATGTGAGAGACTTCCTAGAATATGTAATCCAAATATAAGATATTTCATTTTATCTTTCAGATGAAGACACTATCTGGATTGTCTTTCAGCCAGACTGTGTCTGATGAGTTCATGGACCCTTTTCTATTTCAGTCTGGATTTGTGACCACTAGTATTCATCTGTTATATGACTAATTGGAGTAAGAGGCTAGTGTGTAGCCATAAGTCAAGCAACTTGGCTCATCTGGGTATTTTGCCCTTTTAAAAACAGCTGTAATCATACCATGGTCAGCTAAGTGAGCTGGCTTAGTCATCAGGCCAGACACTGGGTCACTAACACTGGACTTTAAGAGTGAATGTGTTCCCAAACAAGCAGGATTTCTTCAACAAGTCATTTCAAACCTCGGGAGCTTTGCCTGGCTTGGGAACATGCATAGCCAGGGCAAATGGAATTTACTTCCCATACTCTTGTCTGTGGCTTTGGTCATTCTAGGAGTCAAGCTCAAAACAGTGCTTAGTTTATTGGCAAAGATTAAAACAGTGGAAAATGCATTATTGACTTGTCTGCGTGGCTCTACACTGTAAAGGTTCTGGGTAATACCTTGTGTCTTGGGCCAGAGACTTTTGGAAGTCTGTTTTGTTGAGCAAGTATCCCTGGGCTCAGCATCACTGTTAACTTAGAGCTACACTGTCAGGTCTGAGCTTATCAGGACATTAATTAGATCTTCAGAAAGGGCGGGGGTGTGGTCAGCAACACCTGTGAACAACCCAAGTTCATGCCTGGAGTCAAAACTAGTAATTTTCCAAAGAAACAGCTAAAAGGAGGCAATTCTGCCTCGAGAGCCTTTGCTTATGGGCAAAGAATGGAAGAGGAAAAAAATCACTTGCTTTCAATCCAAAATGCTTTGATAAACCCTGCTGAAGCACCATGAACAACAACAAAATAGGTGCACCACACAGAGATATAGATTACCTTTCTATCATTTTATTGGGGTAGGTAAGGGGACTAGAAAAGCACGATTTTTCATTCTTTTACCTAATCATAATTACAAGTAAGTTCCTCAAAGCCAACTCATGTAGAGGTATTTTGCATGGCTTTCTGCATCTAGAATATTTGTGAGTTCAGGATGTTGTTGATGGATGAAAAGCCTATCATGTTCTTTTTGAAAACAAGCTAACCAAAAATTCAGTTTACTTTTATGTTTAATTGAACTTAATAAGTATCTGTTACTTACATATCATCTTAATTATAATCACAGGCATTCTGAAAAATATAAGACATGGCTTCATCCCCTCATGGCCTTCTGATTTCAATGAGAAAGACTAGAGACACATTAGACTAGCTGAGCACGCATGAGCAATACCCGGGGCCTGACTCGGTTTTCCCACTTGTAAAATGAAGGAGTCAAACAGATGATTCCTGATTTCTCCCAGGCTTGCACAGATCTTTAAAGTGTGTGTGTGTGTGTGAGTCTGTGAGAGAGAGTGTGTGTGTGTGTGAGTGTGTGTGTGTGAGAGAGTGTGTGTGTGTGTGTGTGTGTGTGTGTGTGTGTGTGTTTTCACAGGCATCTAATTACCACGCCCCATGTATGGCCAGAGGACACCGCTGGGTGTCAGTCTTCACCTCCACCTTGTTTGGGACAGGCGGTGATGGATCAGGCTAGCTGGCCTGTGAGCTTTGGGGAACCCTGTCTCTACCTCCCCTGTTGCTGTAGGAACACTGGGGTGACAGACATACACTACTGTGTCTGCCTCTGAGTGGCTTCTGGGGATCAGGGCACAGACCCTCACACTTGTATGCACTTTACCTACTGGCCCATCTCTTCCGTCCCTACAAAGCTTTAATCTAATATTTCCGTGCCCTGCTTAGGAAGCGATGCATGACAGTGTAACCACTAAGCGCAAATATATCATAAAAATAATCAATACAACAAGAAGTCTGAAGTGAGAGAAATCAGCCCCAGGGTGTGGCAAAGGACTCTTGGAAAAGCGGAGACTTTAACTTGGACTTGTGGGAATTTGGAGGGGCAATAGGGAGGGGCCACCTGGGAATGCAGAAGACTTGTTCAGCAGGTTCTTGAGCAGGACCAGGAAAGTCAAGTTTGTAATTGCCTCTGGGCATGGAAGGGTCACATGTTGTCAAGCGGTGGCTTTAAGGAAGGGAAGGCAGTCAATGACTTGATGACACAATGCTCTTACCCTATAATTCAGGTCACCCCACTCTCTTCTCAGGCTGCCCAGCTGTGTCTCCCCTCTCTTAGATAAGGACCAATGTCCTTGCCAGTGCTGCAAGGCTCTATGTCACCTACTCCAGCTGTCCCCACGCGCTCTCCCCTGTCTCTTGTGTCTCTCCATACCAGGCCTGCAGTCTGACCCTCAGACACAAGGCATGCTTCATGGGTTCACACCGCTTCGCTGGAGTTTGGCTACTGTGCTTGGCTACCCTTTCTATACTTGCTCAGTGGTCACGTTCCCAGTCTTACTTGCAGTACTAGGAGTAGAATCCAGTCTCGTCCATGCTAGGCACGTGCTCTACAGGTGAGGCATCGCCATATTTAAAACTGCAACCTACACACACACACACACACACACACACACACACACACGTTTCAACATGCTTTATTTTTATTTATTGTCAATCATATTCCTTCATACTATATAATCTATTTGTTTTGTAAAATGTCTATTTCCAGTCTTCGAGTGAAATGATCCCTCTTAGAAAACAATGCAAGATTGTAGTGGTTTGAACAGATATGGCTCCCATAGACTCATGGAATGCTTGGCCCATAGACAGTGACACTATTAGGAGGCGTGGCCTTGTTGGAATAGGTGTGGCCTTTTTGGAGGAAGCGTGTCACTCTGGGGATGTACTCTGAGGTCTCAAATGCTCAGACTATACACAGTGTAG